CCCTCCCTCCCTCCCTCCCTTCCCTCCCTCCTTTCTCCCTTCCTTCCCTCATCTCCTTCCTTCCTTCCTTCCTTCCTTCCTTCCTTCCTTCCTTCCTTCCTTCCTTCCTTCCTTCCTTCCTTCCCTCTTTCTCTGTCTTTTGCAGAGTTTTCCTCTTGTTGCCTAGGCTGGAGTGCAATGGCATGATCTTGGCTCACTGCAACCTGTGCCTCCTGGGTTCAAGTGATTCTCCTGCCTCAGCCTCCTGAGTAGCTGGAATTATAGGTGTGTGCCACCACACCCGGCTAATTTTTGTATTTTTAGCAAAGACGGGATTTCACCATGTTGGCTAGGCTGGTCTCGAATTTCTAAATTCAGGTGATCCACCTGCCTCGGCCTCCCAAAGTGCTGGAATTACAGGCATGAGCCACCACACCTGGCCAGAGTGATCTCTTTACAGTGAAAATGTACACCTGGCTGTGCATGCCTCAATAACACACTGTGAGAATAGAAGCTGTCCATTCATATTTAGAAATGCCTGTGCATCAGGGACACAAGGATGAGAGCTAGTGTTTCTGGAAACCCAGACTAGGATTTGAATCCAGACTCTGCCCATGTGACTGGAGGTACCTTCATTTCCTTATCTGTAAAATGGGAACAAATTTATCTATTGTGTAGGGTTGTAAGGTTTTCAACAATTAGCACATAAAGAGCATTTTGGGTTGAGCCTGGTGGCTCACACCTGCAATCCAGGACTTTGGGAGGGTGAGATAGGCATATCATGAGGTTAGGAGTTCGAGACCAGCCTGGTCAACATGGTGAAACCCCATCTCTACTAAAAATAAGAAAATTAGCCGGGCATGGCGGTGTGTGCCTGTAATCCCATTTACTTGGGAGGCTGAGGCAGGAGAATTGCTTGAACCTGGGAAGTGGCAGTTGCAGTGAGCCAAGATTGTGCCACTGCACTCCAGCCTGGGTAACAATGAGAGACTCCGTCTAAAAAAAAAAGGAAGAAAAAGAGCATTTTGAACAGGGCCTTGACTGGGCTATATGTGGTACCTATGATTACAATTATTAAGTGAAGCCTAATTTTCATAGAGTGGTTTGCAGGCCATCTACGAAGATGATTTGCCTTCCAAGTCAGCTTCTCTCTCTTCTCTCCCTGCGAGCCTGTGTACTCCTTATAGCTCTCACCACATGCACACCATGCTGTTTCTCACTTCCATATGATGCTGGGCCTTCAGTTTGGTTTCATCTCCCTGGAGCAGTTTTTACCAACCTATTCTCTCTGCCCAGCCACCAGCCCTCAGGGAGGTTAGGATTCCATGGCCATTTCTGTTCTGTCAGCCTACATAGCTCTCTGTCCTTCTCTGATCCACAACACTGGAGTTATCTGTTTACCACATGGTAAACAGATGGTTGGGTTCTTGGGGCTGTGACCTATCCATTTTTGTGTCTAACTTAGGATCTGGCAGAGAGTTGGTGATCAATAAAGAACTAATGCTTATTGAATGAGTATAGGGACTGCTTTCTTCTTTCCTGCTTTTTTTTTAAAGGTAACAGAACATGTCAAGTCTCAAGCTCTTTCCACCAGTGTATGCATCCCACTCCCTACTCCCTCCCTCCATGTCCCATTTCCCGAGCCCACGTCAGAATTCTAGTTTCAAGTACACAGAACTTGGTTTCCCGCATGAAGTCTATTACTGGTGGTTCAGAGCAGACCTTTCTTCTCTGTAATGTGTTTTCACAGGAATGCTAGTAGCACTGCATTGAAGCTAATTAATATTGCTTATATGCATGCGTGAAAACAGATCATCTCATGATTCTAGGAAAGAATGATCCAGGTTTCCAAAACAAATAGTTTGTTTTTCAATAACATATTCATAGTGGAAGTGTTTACAACTGTTATACTTTTCTAACCCAAACAATTCCACTGCGTGACTCAGTTCCAACAGAAGATTAGGGGGATGGGGGCTGCACTGCCAGTGGAGCAAACACCAGGGGGAGCTAAAGGGCAGCCACTAAGCAAACGTGAGACTGACTGGGTCTCCCTTGGACATCAGTGTGGAGAGGGGTCCTCCTGGCAGAGCAGAGGTAGGGGTGATAAGCACTGAACATCTGAGATACTTTCTAGCTTTGCCATCAATTTTTCATAAGATTGTGATCTTTGGTAAGTCTTTTGATCTTCACTTAGCCAATTCACAAATAGATACTTAGGGGCCAACATGAATTTAGCTACAGCATACCCCAATATTTTAAGCTGCCTGAAGGAATGCGCTGCCAGAGATTGTTTTTATTCTGCAAGCCATTCATAACTATGTGGGTTTGTTTGCATGCATTCGGGTGAATAGGAAGGAGTGAGGTCAGCACCTGGCATGTACACTGCTGATGCTGAGATACCAACTGACACAAATGAAACTTTTTGTTTGTACAAATTGAGTCATGCTATGCTTACATGTTCTTAAGAGATATACAATCTGTTCCAAAGGACCCTAGACAAAACAATAAAGAGAATTTTAAAGAAATTTCCAGGCATGTTCTTCAGTTGTGATTCTACAGTTCTAATCATACTCATATAAGTGCATGCAAAATCAATTAGATTTGGATACTAGAAATTAATAAAGATATAACTGGCATTTCAAGTATTTCAGAAACATGGACTTCTCAGTGTCTTTCACATTCTCATCGAAATTCTAAATAGAGTGTACAAGATTCTGGTCAGGAATATTTATGCAGAAATAAAAAAGGACTGTTCACTGCCATGCAAGAGAAATTCAGATCTTCACCTCTGATGCAGAGGTGTTTAAAACAAAACCCAACTGGAAGCAAGTTACTGCCTGCTTCAAGCATAATACTTAAATTCCTTCTCCACATTATTAATATTGGCCCTCAGAAATGAGAAAGAACTGTGGTGTTATTTCACCCTGGGGACCTCTAAACCAGTGCCTCTTCTTAATAAATTGCAGGCTGCTCTGCTCTGGCTTTGGCTACAAGCTTATGTGACACATGGACTGTGTTATTATGAGCCTGCTGTAATGTCAGCACGGGGACACAGGGACCTCAGACCTTGAGTCCAGACTTACTATCTTGTTTTTTTTTTTTTTTTTTTTTTTTTTTTTTTTTTTAACGTAAAACAGTGTTCTCATTCAGCTTCATGACCAAGGACTTCTGCTGAGATGAGGTCTGGGCTTTTGAGCCTGCCTACAGTGGCTTCACCCTATTTCAAGGCAACTCTGGAACATGGGCCACTCTTCAAGGACACAGACTAACTAATGGATCCACTTAAAATAAAGACAACAAGATTACTCATTTGCAAAGAGGGAGCAACACTCCCTGAATGTCACTTTCAGACAGTTATGACTTAACACTGCCTATTGTGAGAGTGTCCAGGACATGATTCTTTTATATCTGAACTTGAGGCTGAGGCTGTATTTGATTCACATTTGTTTTACTGCTCCTAGTACAGAATCAAGCACATAATGGGGGGCTAAACACACATTTGTCAAATGAATGAACCCAAAGGGCCAAGCCACTTGCTGACTAGTGTAGCAATGGAATTAGCCTGAGTGTAGGGGGAGTCTCAGGAGCGCAGGGATCTGAAACTGCTGAGGGAGAGCCCAGCTACAGCAACACAAGAGCCAGGGTATCTCTGGCAAGACAGGGTGACAGGCTGGGTGAGGTGGGGAAATGGGGGAAATGAATGCTATCCAGTGAGGAAGGGGAATTCTGTGGAGAGCCAATGCTGGCCCATCTGGTGCAGAAACTACCCCGTTCTGCAAGAGAGAAATGTGTTTGAACCCTGCCACACCCCCATCAACCAAAAAAGATCAGAACTGGTATTTTACTTGATAACCAGGAAGAAATAGCGATGGCTAATGTTGTGTGCCATCTTGGCTAGGCTATGGTGCCCAGTTGCTTGGTCAAACATTAGATGTTGCCAGGAAGGTGTTTTTAAGATGTGACTAACATTTAAATCAGTAGACGTTGAGAAAAGCAGGCGACCCTCAAAATGCAGGTGTACTTCCTCCAGCTAGGTGAATGCCTTAAGAACAAAGACTGAAGTTTCCCAAGAAGAAAAAATTCTACCTCAAGACAGCAACATGGAAATCCTTCCTGAGTTTCCCATCTGCTGGCCTGCCTTACCTATTGCAGACTTGTCAGCCTCCACGATCCTGAGAGTCAAGTCCTTAAAATAAATCTTTGTGTCTTTGTATAGACACATATTCTCCTGGTGTGAGTCTCTGAAGAAACCTGACTGATACAGGAGCTGGGAAACAGATGTGCTCCAGGGCTCTTGACAGGGCTGTGAAGACAGAGCCTTGCAGGGAGGGAGGAAGCCCAGTTGTTGCACATTATTCACCACCTTGGAGAAAGTCCCCTCTAGGTGCACTGGCAGTGCCCCAAAGTTTGGATTTGCACCAGAAGGTGGGAGGCCAGAACTTATTCTCCCATTGGAAAGATGTTCCCAACAGCAGCTGGGCTCTTCTCAGAGTCCACGGTAACCAACATTATCTTCGTGCATCCTGCTCTTGGGAGCTGACGCCCTGATTGGGCAGCTCCTGCTTTCCTGCCTCCTCCTCTTGTTCCCCTCCCATATTCCCACTGCAAGATGGGTTCACCAGGCTGTCGGGGGCCAGCCTGGGTGCCTGTCTATTCAGACTGTGGCTTCCGTGGGATACAAAGTCTGAACAGTGAGAGGGACGCTGGGGGTCCAGGGCGGCGCTTTTCTTTCACTGCCTACTGGCATCAGCTATGAGGAGGACCCTTCCTGCTCCCCAGCATTCCCCAAATCCCTGTTCTAAGAGTCCCCCAAAGATTACCTCTGTTGTGACCCCAGACAGACTTATTCTGTGCCAGCAAGGGGAAGTCACCCGAAGAATCTCCAGCTAACATTAGAAAGACCCGGACCAGAGACCCCAACTTGCCCTGCCAATGAGATCCAGAGGGGCGCCAGAAAGAACCAGCCCCCAGGGACCCACTGGCTCAAGACAGGGAGACCTGGTCCCCCAGCTGAGACTTACCTATTTCCTCACCCAAGGAGGAGTTGAGGATTGCGCCTGCAGACATGACGACAGCGCAGCTGCGCAGGCCGCGTGGGTGCAGCTGGCTCAGGGGCACAGCGGGCACCAGGCGCCGCCAGCCCAGCGCGGAGAAGGGCGCCTCGGTGCCGTCCAGCGTTCGCACGCGCACGCGGCTCCGCAGCTGGCACAGCAGCTGTGCCCTGCTCAGCCCGGCCTCCCTCTTCCCACGGAAGCGCACCCCGTGCTTGTTGGCGGTCAAATAATCCTTCATCGCCTTCTGCAGGCGCGGGTTCAGCATTTTGGAGGAGACATTCCCCTTCCAAAGGCGGTACAGGAAGGCCCTGGACATGGAGGAGTACAGCCTGTCGCCGTCGTCGCCCTCCTCCAAGTGGCTCCTTCTCTGCCTCCGGTGCCTCTTCTTCACCCGCCTCCTCTGGACCCTTGCAGCTGGCAAAGCTCCCTCTCGCGGGCGAGGCTCCCCCGGGGAAGGGAATCCCAATGTCCCCTGAGTGTGGCTGTGCCACCCTGGCTGACCAGCAGCAAAAAAGTAGTCGTCGTCCTCCGGATAGAAAGCACTTTGAGATTTTCTTCCCACCTGGGATGAAAAAAACTCTTCATGTTCAAACACATCTTGGGACTGGGCCCATTTCTGCGGGTCTCCAGGCTCTGCATGAAAGGGGCCAGCTGGGTGGGCGCGGGGCAGCGGCGGGCGTGGGTCCAGGCCCCCAGGTGGGGAGGGCTCATGCGCAGCGCCCATGATGGCCCGCTGCTTCCCCTGCACTGGCAGGAGCCTTCTGGTCTCCAGGAAGGAGAGGGAGCTGGGCACAGGCTCAGCGGGGTTGCTGTCGGTGAAGTAGATGAAAATCAGCAAAAAGAGGAGCCCCCAAGCGAATATTCCAAAAAGCATTCGTTGTCTCCATTGCTTCAAGTGTGGTTTCATGGCAGGTTTCTAGGATCAGCACCTTGTGTCCTAAAGCAGATGGGTGGCAGAATGAACCTGAAAAACAGCCAGATGCCACAGTTAGCCCATTTGGGACATCTGCTCAGATGCTGCTGAGGACATTCTATCTTGAGCAGTGTTTCTGTAGAGGTGGGCTGGGTTGTAGAAGGGGCACTAGAAACCAGAATCATCCAGGAGTTTTAGCTAAATCGAGGTGTGATATCTGTCCCCCCCCCCACCTCCCATCAACCTTTGCAAGAGGAGGGATCTCACTATCTCAGATGAGTCTTCGGAGAGAGAAGAGGGATGAGTGTATATTTGCAAAATCCTCCCCATGTAACTCAGGGACATGTGTGCCTTCCCACCTACTGTGGGAAGTAGGGCCCCTGCCCACAAGTTCTTTCTACTTCTGAGATTACCAAATTCCAACTTGGTAGCTGGGTGTGGTGGTGTGCACCTGTAGTCCCAGCTACTCCGGAGGCTGAGGCTGAAGAATCACTTGAAACTGGAAGGCAGAGGTTCCAGTGAGCTGAGATCACACCACTGCACTCCAGCCTGGTGACAGAGCCTCCATCTCAAAAAAAAAAAAATCCAATTTGGCAAATCTGAGCCAGAGAGTTAAGCATAGTTTGCCTTCTCTTATTTACTTATCAGACCACCAAAAGCTCGGAGCTCACAGATTTTACAGTAGCGCTGCTGTTCACTTCTAAGGAGTGATGACCATATCTGATTCTTCCTGTCCTAACCAGCCTGGGAGGCTGCCTAGAACATACTGGAAGTCCACCGAGGGCACTGAATAAAGCAATACTTCAGTAACTGTGTCTGAGGGTGAATGTTATTTCAGGGTACCTGTTGTCTTCAACAATGTCCCCCAAAATGCCCTCCTACTTCACCCTTACTGTGAGCTTTTGGTGAGATAAGTGGGAAGTACTTTAAAACTCTAAATAGGAGGAGAGATGAGGAGCGAGCTTGCTGATTCTAGATGAGGCTCAGAGAAAGGGTAACAAAAGGGGACAGAGATGAAAAGGTACAATGAAAGACAGAATGAACCTCTCCTCTGTACAGTATTGCAACTAATATGTATTCCTATGTGGGTAGCACAGCACTTGATACTAAAGGAAAAGATAAAACATTAATAAGAAATGCTCCTAACTTCAGGAATTTAAGCAAAGTCCTGGAAAGGCAAAATAACCTAAGGTATGTTTGTGGAATAATAATTAAGCTTGCTGGAACTTCAAGCTGAGCACAAAGCCAAGCACAGGTAGATATTCAATGAATATTGGTTGAGTAAATAATGTGAGCTTGTGTTTGTGTGTGTGATTTGCAGGAGGCTTTGTGTGTCTGTAGATATGCATGGGTGTGTGGGTGGGTGTGCTGGAAGAAGCAGCAAGACCATTTGGGGAAAACATAATTGGAAATCAATCCTCTTCCAGCTCTGGAGGGTCTTCAGTGCCCACTGGATGTCTGGGGACATGCTGTAAAAGAAATAGGGAGTGAGTGAAGTTCTGAGAGCAAGGGAGTGATGCAGTGGTTCCATGGGTATTCAGGAGATTCCTTGGTGGCAGGTAAGGCAGGGAAGAGTACAGGGAGGCAACACAGACTACAAGGAGGTCATTAGTAGAAATTAGATACTTAGGAAGTAGGGTGATTCTGAGAGGAGGAGCTGTCAGGGAAAATCTATGACCCACATGCTCCTTCTCCGGGACAGACTGACCAATGCCAAAATGCAAAGGCATATAGGGGCATGGCTGCAATGCAATGGTTGTGTTTTCACTCAAAAAGATAGGAACTGAAATCAAAATGAATGTTCCTACCTCAGTGCAGTCACCCTGGAAAGTCATACAATGTCGCTGGTGAGAAAGGACATACCAAAGTAAAAAAACCTATATTCCTTTTGTGGCTCTATGGCTGATTAAAGGTGGACACAGATCTTTTGACCTTCTGCCAAGAGAGAGGCAGGTTCTGTCTCCCCCTATTAAATAAGGACAGGCTCGATGACTGCCCGGACTGGAAGAATATGGTGGTAGTAATATTGTGCCAGTTACCAGGCCCAGGTCTGGCATTTTCCACTTCCTGCCTCTCAGAACACTCACTCTGGGGGAAGCCAGGCACCAGTGAAAATATGTGCCTAAGCTTAGCCCAGAAGGCACAGAGGAAGTCCAAGCCAGGAAAGTCCACATGGAATGACGGATGCCAAGTCAACCCCAAGCTGTTCCGGCCGTCCCAGCCATCCCAGCCCAGGCACCAAATATGAAGAGCAAAGAAGTCATCCTGGGTGTCCAGCCTGCTGCACTTTCCGATGACTCCATCTACAGTTGACATCTGACTGCAACCCCACTGAAGACCCGACTGGAGGGCCAGCCTAGCCCAGTCAGTTCATGGAACGGTGAGTGATGATGATAGTTTGTTGTTCTAAACCATTAAGTTATTTTTTATTTGTTTTGGTTTGAGATATGTATAGATGTATATAAATGCACTTATATACATATATATGTATTTGTTTTAAATTTTAGATTCAGGGATACATGTGCAGGTTTTGTTACAGGGGCATAGTACATGATGCTGAGTAAACTAAATTTTAAGGTGATTTGTTACATCAGAAGATCATTGGAATGAATTCTAATGGAAATGCTAAATAACTTCCAAAAATCCTCAGTAACATATACAACTATTATGTACCCATAATAATTAAAAAGAAAAATTAAGCAAAGAAAAAGGAGTTCCAAAAATGCTTCCAACAATTGCAACATTTTCAGATAAGACTCTAATATCCTAGAGGGATCCTACAAACAAGCAACGTTCACTTACATGTATAAATTGTGGCTTTTAAACAGTGTTTGCTTTATTTTGTATTCACATAAGAGCAAGGCTATAGATTTTTTGTACAGTAATACATCAAACATACATAGACAGAATATACTTTAACCAAAGCAGAACCACTGATGCCAAGAAGCAAATGCAGAAGAATTAATACCTACAGTTAACATACTATATATGCAGGTCTATGTTTAGCACTTGTCCTGGATTATTTTATTTGGTGTTTCCAGCATTGAATTAGATAGGAAATACTGTCATCTCAATTTTTTTGATGAGAAAACTGAGTCCCAGAGCAATTAAGTAACCTGCCCAGAACCCCAGAGCTAGCAAGCAGCAGATACTACATGCAAATCCATCTGCTTCATCCTATGGCTCACACTTTTCACCCCAAGTTCTGATTCCATCTGGTCACACCAACCAAGCTTGTATTTTCTAAATTTATGCTCCTGAAACTATCTGTAGTGAAGGAAAAGTTTTCCCCCAAATTGTCACTGTGTGATATTTTCATATTTCCATTTCTGAATGTCTTGGCATTGTCCAATTGCTAGAAAAGTCTCTAAATGCCTGCTCTCAAGTTCTGCAAACATCAGGAACTAGCAATGTACAGTTGTGGATGTGCATCACCTGGGCTAACACTTTGAGTAGCACCTTCCACATGATCTGTCTAACCTGTCCACTCAGGGACAGTGCTTCCAGCTGTAATTTCCAACGTGTAGGTCTAGAATGTGTTTCTGATACTTCAAGACTTCCATTAGAAATTGCAAAATTATCCTTAATAACAGTTATTCTGTTGCATCCCACTGGGTGCACTGTGATGTAATTCTGACGCTTGGTACTGGGAGTTAGTGCAGGCCCCATGAGTTAAGGGCTCAGGTCTCCTCCAGGAGACTGCCCTCATTTCCCATGCCAGCTGTGTGTGCGGTCCCAAAGCCACTCACACTTCCATCTGTCCAACTACCAATCCCCAAACTCTAGGACACCATTCAGGTTTGATTATTTGCTAAAGCTAACATGACTAACGGAAGTCAGGAAAGTACTGTATTTATGGTTATGGTTTTATTGTAAAGGATGCACATAGGGTGAGATCTGAGGGGAATGCAGTTTCATGGGCTTTCCCTGTGGAATCTGGGTGTATTACCCTCCCAGCACATCAGTGTGTTTATGAACCAGAAGCTCCACTGAACCCCAGAATCTAGAGTATCTAGAGTTGCTATTAGGGTTCCATTAGCTAGTTGTGATTGATTAAATCACTGGCCATGTGAGTGAACTTAATCTCCAGGGCCCCTCTTCTCCCTATTCCTGTCATCTCAATTTTTTTGAGATGGCCCAAGTTCAAACCCTGCAATTTCATCGAGTTGATCTTTCTGGTGATCAGAGCCCAAGCTGAAGCTATCTGGGGGCACAAAGTGAGTCCCCTCGTTAGCATAATGTAAACAGTCCTATCACTAAGGAAATTCCAAAAGTCTTAGAAGCTCCATGCTGGGAGCACCAAGGGTGCAGCAGCTGATTTAAAAGGCAGTCTTTTTGTTTCTCATTGGTAATCATCATTTCCTGGTTTCCCTGCAGTGAGCAACAGCTCTGGTGGGTAACGAAAAAATGAGAAACTCAGATTTCTGATTTCAGCATTTGCTCCAGGAAATATTTTTAAAAAACAGAGGCAAAGGTGAGATGTGTACACAGTGGTGGGAAGTGCAACAGCAAAAACAAATCTTTGAGCTGTTGGGAAGAGCTCAAAACTTCTGGCCTAGAGGGCTTGGGGCTGAGAGCCAGTGCCCCCGACAGCAGAGAAGCTAATGTTACCTTGGTTTGAGTGGTAAAGAAGCCATAGGAACTCAAGCTGAGAAAGTGAACTTGTGAAATTTCATGGCAGGATTCAAATTATCAGATGTAAAATTAAATAATTCAAATTTAAAATAATTCAAGTTTAAAGCTACTGGAACTTGAAATTATCTTGAACCTTGAGAGAAATGTGGCTATGCAGTCTGTGTCATGTGGCGGATAGCTGCAACTTTTGCCTTTTTGTTCCTGCAAATAATTAGAAAGACCAAGCAGTGCCAGAGATAAGACCCTCTCAGACCATTGCACCTCCTCATGGAATAATAAAGTATTCTTCTTCAAAATAGAACAATCTGTAACCAATCAAACAGCTGTGGCATATATACATGGTCTTGTATGGAAAATGCTGTGATCCTTCTGGAACTTCTCTGTCTCTGCCTACATAATTGAAACTTTAACTTCTC